CAGCATCTGGATGTGGAAATGTATTCAAGGGCGTAAAATAGACAATGTTTTGGTGTACACGGTAGAAAGTGCGGAGTTAATTTCTGATGAAGATTTCTCCAACCGAAAGTATTTTAAACATCATTTGCCACTTTGTCGAAACAAAAAAACACCTTTAGAAAGTATTGGCGTAAAAATGATTAGTCAGGTGGCCTTAGATGCCATGCACCTAATCGATTTAGGGGTAATGCGAAAATTTCTTCTGCAAATTTTGCAAGATAAAATAATCATTAGGGTAGCAAAAGAGAACAAAAACAAAATTTCCAATAGCTTAAAGTTTTTGAAGCCTCATATTTCCCAGGAATTCGCAAGGAAACCAAGAGGGTTTGAAGATATTTTACATTGAAAGGCCACCGAATTTCGCCAATTTCTCCTTTATACTGGTATCCAGGTTCATGTTTCAGCTGATGTTTACTATGAGTTTCTACTTCTGCATTGTACTTGTAGGTTATTGTTTTGCCCAAAAAGTTACATAAAAAATATTAATATCGTTCAAAACTTTCCTCGCATATTTGGAGAAACAAGTGTGACCTACAACGTGCACAACCTATTGCACTTAGTGAATAATGTAAAAAGCTTAGGTTTACTGTCGGAAACATCTGCCTATAGTTTTGAAAATCATCTTCAAACATTGAAAAGCTATATAAAAAAAACCAACGCAGATATTAAAACAGCTTTGTAATAGGATTGCACACGAAAATTTAGTGATGGATAAACAATACAATGGCCTCAAGTTATTAAAAAATGGTGCATTTCAATACTATCACAAGAACTATGTTTTCTCTGTAAAAACTCCTAATGACTATTGTCTCGTCAGGCCTTTTCTTCCAATAGAAATCCAGCGTTTTACGAATGAAAATGGAGGGTCAGTCGTGGGGGGGGATATTTTTTAATTTAGAACCATTTTTTGATGATCCTATAGATTCCATGACTTTGGGAATATGCACCGTAGACAAAAATCCTTCCGATGAAGAATTTTGTTTTCCGCTCAGTGAAATAGATTGTAAGTTGTAAGGACATCCTCTTGATGACCGCTTACTTATTATGCCAATTTTACATGGCTGCTATTAACAGACATTAAATTTGCCAAATTAAACAGCACTAATTTTTTTATGTATTATTATTTTAAAGCTAAGGAAATGTACAAGAAAATTAAACTCTTCGAGAAGACATCTGAATATGTTCAACCTCAGTGTAAGTATTATACAGTGCTGTGCAAAATAAAACCAATATACATATACATATACAGTATTGGCCAATACAATAGCACCCCCATTTCAAAGTGATATTGTTTGTCTCTTATGTTAAATTATTTATGTATTTTTTTTTAATTTTCAATTAAAATACAGTTCATTCTCTAACAAAACTTGCAAACAAAAACACCACTTGAGACTTGCACATTATTAGACCAAAATTTAATGAGCTATAAAACTGTGTTCTGTGTCCTGACAAAAAAGTTTGAAATTTGGGTGGAAATTTGTTGAATTTTTTTTGTAGTCGCTTACAAAGTTTCAAACCTGGGTTCATATGAGTTTTGCCAAGAGTCTATTGGAGCGCCAGTAGCCGAACTATTTCCACTCAAATCGGAAGATGATCTGAAATCAGTTGAGGAAAAAATCATTCCAGAAAACCGTGAAACTTATGTAAGTACAATTTTTTCGCTGAATTTCGATTTTAGAGAAGCAAATTTGAGTAAACAGTTTTGTAGGCCATTGAATTTTAGTGTAATAAAACCCAATTTTGAAGAAGCCGCTTACGCTATATGTCTACGTTATATGGCAGAAAATAACTAACCATTTAACGAGAAAAAATTAACAAAAACTAACGGTAATTCTCAGGTTCTTTAAACTTGTACTTTATTATTTTAAAATTCAAGTGGCTGCAAAACCGCACGCTAAAATTGTGTGTAAACAATCCAATAAAAAATTGCAGTTTTCTTAAAATTGCGAAAGTTTGGAACTCTGATTCTCCAGGTTTTATAAGAACAATTATTTTAATCTGACATTTTCTTACAAAGTTTTGCTATCGCCTTTTGTTTAACAGGTTTCTACAATGAAGAGCATTTTTCAGCATAACGCTTGTAAGAATTTGAAAAACATTTTACAAGACGGAATTATACTTAACTGCAATATTGACATGGGTCCCATGGGAAAAAACGTTTGAAGGATTTTACTACTTTTTATGGAGCACTTTTGGGTAATGCGAATTTGCAGACTCATTACATAATTACTTTTTTGAATATAAATTTGTATTTATTTGAAAATAGATGCCATTTCATGCCTGCCGAATGTAACAAATCCGGAGGAGGAGCTGCGTAAGGAAATTAAATTGCAAAAGAGACGACATTTTGGTGTCCTCATCAAAATCGCATTCTATTGAACTAGAATTCAATGCGCTATAAAACCGCATACTCAAAATCTTTCTAAAAAAACTGGTCAAAAAGTTGAAAATTTTCATGAAAATTTGTTGAATTTCCTAAATTTTTTAAAAAGTTTGGAACTCTGGTTTTTGTGGATTTCGTTGTATAATGAACTGTACTTTTGAAACAAATCAATACAAATTTATTTACTTAGACACAACGAATTTATATCGCGCGCAATGATTGTAGCGTTATTTATTTTTTTAATTTATAAGAAAAATTCATTTTATTTATTTTATTTTACAAAAACTATGAAAAAATTTATTTATAACGCGAGTAATTGTTTTTAAGTTTTTTCGCACGGCAATAAGGGTGGGTAACTCAGCAAATTTATAGGAGTTGACTCAATGACTCCAACTCACTTTAAGGAATCAGCTCATTCAACTAACTCATTTGACTCTTTGTATGTTACACTCATTCGTATCGTAGACTCGTTTTGAGGCATAGATGCGGTATAGCGGCCGTTGAGATAAAACAAAGCTTTAAAGTGGGCGTGGTCAGCTCCTTTCTACTGATTTGAAAGGTGTAATTTTTTTTGTGTGCAAATTAATAGGGCGGTGCTAGGGGGAGGGTAAAGGTGGAATTTTCAATATTTTCAAAAGCTTATATTTCGAAACCTATTGTACCGAATTTCAAAATGTGGATATGGTTGGAAAGGCAATTGATTTGATATGCACATCTTTATATATCTTACATACATACATATTTCGAGAAAAACTAAAAAAAAAACGAAATTATAAGAATTTGTGAGATTTGACATAACACCCGCAATACAAAATACATGTGGTTGTTGTTGTTGTATTCTTGCCACCACCTTGTATAAATTCGCCTCGTGCAAAAACAAAATGCAAGACTTTGCCATGCTAAACACTGTGGCGAAGCGAGAGAGTTATATGGACAAATATGAGCCACTATGATTCAATTGATTCATGTGAGCCCTACGGCATCAACTGAGTTACTGAGTTACATTTTTTTTGGACAGGGAGTCTGAGTTACCGATTCACTTATAGGAATCAACTCAATAACTCAACTCTGAGTTGAGTTACCCACCTCTACACGGCAATGTTTGTACGGGTTTTGTAAAAAAAACAACATATGATTAGATATATTCAAAAAATTCCGTTTTTATTAATTATTATATGAAATAAGCGAGCATCATTATTTAAATTAAATATTAACTAGTGCTCAACCGAAGTACAAACGTATGGATGTATAGGTATGCGTTTGCAGCTAAACCTAAATATTTGAAGGTTAAATGTATCTACGTAAACATGCCGTTTTTATTAATAATTATATATATGTATGTACATTAGGGTGTCCCTTATTTTTCAATGTTATTATTTTACTACGCATAGGCTCTAGTTTTGTTCATTTATCAGTAAAACACTCGAAAAAAGATTTTTGTCTTATTTGGACAACTGCAACCCGTGCCGACTTGCTCGGAAACCTGTTCATACAAGTACGGCGCCTGCACTCTGTTACTGTCAGTTATGCTACGTTTGTACGCCAGCTGTTTGCCAATAGAATCAATTTGCAAATGGGTCGTTCTTAAAAAACATGACCATTCTGAATTTTGTAATTTTTAAAAATTAAGTTGGCCAAATATGTTTATAATTGGCCTCATGTGGTTACGGATGGTATCAACAATAGGAATCCATAACCAGCAGTATTTTTTTTTAATTTTTGGAGTTTTTGGAGTTAATAAGTCACAGAGTGGACCGGTAACAGAGGGGACAAATTAACTCAAAAATACCATATTTTAGCTTTTTATTCGAATTTTGGAGAATTTATTTGTCCACTTAATTAATGTACATAAAATATTTATAAAAAAATTATAAAATAAATAAAAAATCAATTTACTCACCGTTTTTCAACAGTAACAGAGTTGACACTGAATAAGGGTACGTACCCGGCATACAATTGGGTTCCTTACTCAACAACGCACTAAACAAGACTGAACAGTTCAAAACACATTTTGTTGATTTTAGCTAAGTTATGATGGAGAAGCATAAGAGAAATATACGCGTCATAACGTTTAACAAACATTTTTCAATAAAATGAGTGGACGTAACAGAGGGGACCAAAACCTGGGGACACAAATTTTCTTCATAAAAATTATACAAAAAAATTATTTTTCATCATTCTTTTCTATATATGGTATTAATATACACAAACTGAATAACAAAAATTGTAAATATTATTTTTTTTCAATTTTATTTCAACTGAAAATAACTATTAAATTTTTATAAATTGGCTCGGGACACAGGTTTTTGCTAAACCTTTGATATTGCAAATATTTTTTAAGTTATTTTCAGATAATTAATTATTTTTTTTTATAATATAGTTACGTAGAATCGATAATAATTTATAAAAATGCAGATATTTTTCTATTTTCTTTTTGAAGAAACAAAATATAAAATAGTAAAGTCTGGGGACACCAATTGGTCATGTTTTTTAAGAACGACCCAAATACTGGACTAACTGTTTTAGAGGCGATTCCCATTCAGAAATAAATAAAATTTCAACATTTGCACTATATTTGTAAATAGTTTCATTAATTAGCAATTACTTTCATGAGTGAGCTGTATGCAAATAAAGAATTAACTGTGCGTTTAGCAAATTTGAAATAAGACGTGCACGTGCTTGTCGGGTAAATAACGCGGATGATTTCGTATTTCGAAAATTTCAGTGGAACTAAGAAGCAATAAAAATATTATATTTTTGGTTGGTGAGGTCAACCACCAAATAACGGGTGCAAAATTACCGTCTAATCGTCAAGTTCTCGCGGTTCTATTTTTCAATATTCGCGAAGTAAAATTGATTGTTAGTGAAAGCGCAAATCTTGCCACTCGTGAGTGCATTATATTCTGGGAAAAGGCTAGGGTACCTACCAGAGTTGTCCCTAATTGTGTTAAGAAACTTGTGGATCTTTATCAAGTCTGGCGAGAGCTGCAAAAAAATTGCAAGAAGATACCGGCTTTTCATAGACGTCGCGAGGAGGAGTTTCAACAGGATTTGGATAATTTATTCGATATCGCACATGCTGATGCTCTCAAAAGAATTAAAATAGAAGAAGATAAAATATTCTTACAAAAACAGAGAGCCAGGGCGTCCGGGTTGCTTAGCGGGTGTAGACAAAAGTTAGCTATAATTGAAGAAAGGGCAAGGCTCAGACAACTAGCAAAAGAAAAAAATAGACTAAAGCAAATACCCTTAGAGAGCTTGTTGACATCTGTAACTCCACACAACAATATAACACTCACAGAATTACAAGATCAATTTGCAAGCTCTGAAGAAAGCCTGAACGAACCGCTGCCTTCCACATCTCAATCTCTTCGTTTATTATCTACGACGACAAAAAGAGGAAGGAAAGATTTTATCACGTCTAAATTGGTTGCAACTTTAAACAGATGTCAACTCAGCATTAGAGATTCTGTTTATATAATTCAGGCTGTAGTAGAAGCACTAGGCCTTTGTTGCGACGATTACCCAATTAACAAATCTTCAATTCAACGCATTCGAACACAAATGAGAAAACATAGAGCAGAATCCATAAAATCCGATTTTCAGAATAACATGCCCGAAGTAGTTACCGTTCATTGGGATGGAAAATTGTTACCTGGTCTGGATGTGAAAAGTTCTAAAGAAGAACGCTTGCCAATTATTATTTCATTTGAAGAGAAGGAACAACTTCTTGCAGTACCGAAATTAGAAAGCTCTTCCGGCAAAGAACAAGCGAAAGCAGTATCAAATGCGCTTAATGATTGGAACCTTAAAGATAAGGTACAAATAATGTGCTGTGATACGACAGCATCTAATACAGGCCGCTTGAAAGGAGCTTGTGTGCTTTTAGAGCAAGCATTAGAGAGAGAATTGTTACTCTTTGCTTGCCGTCATCATATTTACGAACTTGTGCTCAAAAAAGTATTTATATCAAAGACTCAAGAAGACACTACCAATCCCGATATTCCACTGTTTAAAAAATTTAAAGATAACTGGAAGAATATTAATCCTAGTGCTATCGAATTATGCGATAATTTTGTCAAACAACATTTCTGTGACGCGACCATTAATGAATTGGTGACGTTTTTTTACAACGAACTGGGAAAATCGATTGTACGAGATGACTATCAAGAACTTATTGAACTCGCCATTATTTTTTTGGGAGGAGATTCTGAAAATAAAATTAAAATCAGGCAGGAGGCAATGCATCAAGCACGGTGGATGGCAAGAGCTATTTACTCTTTAAAGATTTGTTTGCTGCAGTCTCAGTTTAAAATGAATGTCAAGGACGAACAAGCGCTTAAAGATGTTTGTTTATTCATTGTGACAGTTTATGTAAAGCCCTGGCTTGGATGCTGTTTAGCAGTAAAGGCGCCGAATCAAGATTTGCGTTTTTTAAAGACCCTGCAAGGTTAAGAGTTGACAATTTGAGCAAATTCAGTCAACAACTATGGTATTTATCAGAGGAAGTAACCCTCCAATCAATTGTTGACGACGAAGTTGATAAAAAAACCAAGCTGAAAATTTTGGCAAACTTACAAAGAGAAATCTTTGGAAATTCAAGAAAGGGAACATAGAAGGATGAGATGTCGGTCTCTTTATATGGTAAGTGGTAATTAATCTGTTATTTTAAACTTTGCTTATTTAATTTAATTAATGCTGTAACTTTTTTTTTTGTTTTAGAAAAATCGTTGAGTGATTTCATATCTGTTAAGAGCAAAAATATATTTTCGAGATTTAAAGTTGACAGCAGTTTCCTTCAGGCAAATTTATCTTCGTGGGAAGAAAATGCCGCCTATGTGGAAGCTAAAAAGAAGTTTTTGAGCTTAAAAGCAGTAAATGGCACAGCTGAAAGAGCTGTTAAACTAATGCAAGACTTTCATGGTTTGATAACCGCAGACGAAGAACAAAAGCAGTTCCTTTTACGATGTGCGCAAGAACATAGAAAGATGTATCCAGATTGTAAAAAAGAGACTTTAACAGGTCTATTCTGCGCTGGTAATAAAAAGTTTGTAACCGGTAAATAAAGTTTCTGTCAATTTTTAAACCCTTTTCGCATTCTCTGGACTCTTGTAACCGGTAAATTTTGTTACAATCTCATAAGCTGGTAACAAAGTATTGCCCCATGAAATATGCAATGCCAGAATTTGCACAATTCTTCATAGCTGACTTGCTGAATACTTTAACTGCATTACCAACGTTCCTAGAATCGCGGTGACAAGAACTGGTAACATTTTTTGGTAATAAAAATTTCCGGTTACAAAATCTTCGGTAACGTGCAGAATAGACCTGTAAAAAAGAAAATGTCCTAAATAATAATTTTTTAAATTAAAGAAAGCCATTACCTAAATGTGTATTTTCATCAATATTAAACAAACATATGGATATTTGCGTTGATCTAGCTACTTGATGTAGTAAAAAAACTATTTGCTAAAACTTTGAGCCCCTGTCGGCACGGGTTAAAATATACATAGAAAGGAAAAATTTTATATTTGAGTACAGGTAAGTATACTTAACAGAATTGGAGGGTATGCATTTTGATAATTACAAAACAAAAAATTTCGTCCATATAAGTGACACCCTAATGTACATATATGAAATAAATGAGCAACATTATTTGAATTAAATTTTTAACTGGTTCTTAAGTGTGTTTTTTACAACTAATCCCGAACTACTGAGTATGTAACTAGTTCTTTTGTGTGTTTTTTGCTACTGATACAGAACCACTCACTATGGAACTGATCGAAAACAATTTTTCTTGGGGCTATCTCTGAACTGAATACATTGGAATGCTTATGGGCCTACTGTCTCTGAACTGTGTACATTGAAATGCTTATGGGGCAACTGTCCACCGCCAATGACAGCTCCATTATAAAGTAGACAGTTGAAGCCGTTGTTCGGCGATTGAGCAGGAACTAGTGTTGTGGAAAAAGGAAAGCATCTTGAACTATTTTTGGCCTAGAGAAATCTCCTGCAGGGTAGCGTCAACGGAGTGTGAATGTGTGTGTGACAGCAGTAGCATTTATCACTTTGTTGTGTCCCTTTTAACTGCGTTTCGATTCTAAGTAATGGTCTGATTATGGCAACTTAACGTGACTTACGGCTCTCTCTTAAAAATTCTGTAAAATGGGTGTTGCTTATATTTGAACAGCCGAAACTTTACGTAACTTAAGGCCACGTCGAAATCTGCTTCATTTTAATTCTCTATGTTCTACGTTCCATTAAGTTAAGTTAAGTTGCCATAATCAGGCTTTAAGAGTGCATTCGTGTATATACATTTGGAAGTGGATACGTGCGCTAATGCATGTATTTTATTTTGCAAATTCGCATTGTGTTGCAATGTCCCCGATTGCTTTGCTGACATGCCGCAAAACCACAAAATAACAATAGTTACAAAGAGGCCAACAACGACGCCAGAACCACCAACAATAGTTGTGGCAGCAGATCTGAAAAAATACTTAAAATTAATGCCATCTCATAAATTTCTTTTTAATGCTGTAGAAATGTGGCATCAAAGCCGCTCAAGTTGCGATCTGTAGCTACTCAACTGCCATTGTTGATTTTATGTTTTAACTTCATCCCACAACAACTGCTGCACTTTCTGTTAAGTGTTTTTGTTGCTCTTTTTATACCCGAGCGCACTTGTGCACAAGGGTATTATAACTTTGTTCACATAACGGTTGTTTGTAACAGACAAAACGAATCGATATAGATATAGACAAATGTATACATAAATGATCAGAATGAAAAGAGAAATCGATTAAGCGGTGACTGTCTGTCCGTCCGTCCGTCTGTGCACACGATAATTCGAGTAAAAATGAAGATATCTTAACAAAACTTGGTATGTGCACTTCTTTCGGGCGTATGACGGATGGTATTGAAACTGGACAAAATCGGACAATAACCACGCCTACCTCCCATATAACGGTAATTTTCAGAAATACGAAAACTGCGATATTTTAGTAACTACTGAAGATAATGCACTCAAAATTGATATTTACAATGACTTTCAGACGGAAAACATGAACATTATAAATTTTTGCAAAATGGGCGAAGCCACGCCCACCTATGGTTACATGTGTATATCTTGGTAACCGCTGCACCAATTTCTTCCAAACTTGGCACAGTTGTTGGCCTTGGTATAGCATACTAAATGGCCGAAAATTTTAAAAATCGGTCTTTAACCACGCCTACCTCCCATATAACGGTAATTTTCAGAAATACGAAAACTGCGATATTTTAATAACTACTGAAGATAATTCACTCAAAATTGATATTTAAAATAACTTT